TGGTTTTTAGTAGGTCCGCTGCTCGTTTAAACTCAACGGTTTGTGCAATATTCGCTATTGGTCTAGATTCGACCAATCCTGTCGCGACATGAGTCGGAAATGACGTTTTACCGAATTCTACGAGTTTTTTTTTAACCTGTTTGTACGAATACTGTCGTAATTTTTTCGCCGTGATATAGGAATCCAAACTATAGGAACCCGTGTTATAGGGGGATTGACTGTATTTACTTTTGTAAATAATGCACTGACACTTACAAAATCAGTGAGTAATATTTATTTTAATAGTTAAAATTTAAAGGAAATTGCTTTTAGCCCTTGCTTAGACCCTCATATATATAATGATGAAATCTATTGTCTTAATACTAACATCTGGCTGGTAAGTGATGTAATGAAGGTTGGCCATTAAGTTGTTTGTCACCACTTGTTCCCCAGATGTTGCCTGTAACACACCTCTCTCATAACTGTTCTACATCTTGTAGCAATACCACCTTCAAACTCCAGCTTACTACTGTTATGGTATGTAGATTTAACTTATTTTGTAAAACAATCATCATATTATCTCACTAATTTTTAATACTGTTTATAATAGTATCCCTCATGTCAAGCTACCATTTAACATAATGAAGCCACCTTAAGCCTGTTCCTCTACACCCAATTATTACTCAATAATCATACTTTTATAACGGTTTCTTTGTCTTGTATAATTCTAAGTATCTCACCTTTTTTTTTATATGTATACCAACTGAAGAGGGACTATTCCGATAGTCCGAAATGCATTTTGGTTATTTCATGTCAATTATTAATTTAATAGTTTGTAATGTACACCCATTCTCGTTTTATTAAATGTATCCCATTGATATTTTGAGTGTTTGTGCTTATTATCACTGGTGTGATAAGTCCTTATTCCTACCTCACAGTAGTAGGTTTTTAATCAATTTAGTTAAAATTTAAACATAACTATTATATTTATTTTCAGAAGAACAAAATGAATTCTGTAGGAATTTGTTTTGGTCAAAAAGAATCTGAACAGAATGAAGATCAAACAAAACTCTTGAAGAATCGATGGAAACCATTGATGATGAGTATGAGCTTCATAGGGATGACACTTGAGAAAAAAACATCGTTGCACGTTATTTTCATGATGACTGGAGCGAAAATGGTTCCTGTTTTCTATATTTCTCGTTTAATGACTACAAATGAACAGTTTTCAGTATTTAAGTGGCTTTCGCTTTTTTATTTTTTTTTTATTTCAGTAATTATTAAAATAATATCCTTGTATCATTTTCATCTCACCAAAATGAAAATCTTATCTAAAATCGAAAATGTGTACGAAATATTAGATTTTGAAGAAAAGTTAAACAAAAATCGATACCTGTCAGTTAAATGTTTCGTAATCTGGATAAATTTCATAATACTTGCGGTAAATTTATATTTTATTTATCATAATAAAAAATTATTTCAAATAACTTCCTATTACAGTGAAGTTTTCAAATTTATTATTGTATACTGTTCTTGTTTCTTCTTACAAATAGAAGGTAATTTTTTGTTTCTTTTCTTTTCTTGCGTATGCGAAGAATTTGAATATTCGTTGAATTATTTGCGTAAAAAAAGTATTATGTTGGATAATGATGTAACTAAGAGTATTCATTTGGCAACAACTAAATATACTCAAATATTTCATGCCATAAATCACGTTCAAGCTGTTTATTCTCCCATATTATTTCTATGGGCAATTTTTGCTAGTGGAAGTATGGTTTTCGAAACCGATGCAATTATTAAAAATTTCATGAAATCCAAAAAATTGTTTGGTGTAATACAATTTATTTGTGTTCCTGTTTTTCAACTTTTTGCATTTTTTTACCTTTGTTTTTCTTCGTCAAATGTAACCGAATCGGCTAAGAATCTGTTGAATTCTATTTACAAAGTATCTGTTGATAGCGATATCAAATCATTACAGGAATCTACTTATCGTTTTTACATGAAATCTCTTCAAGATTTACCTAAATTTTCCGGATGGAATATGTTTAATATTGACAGAAATTTGATTCTAGCTATTCTAGGTATGATCATTACATACAGCATTATTATAATCCAGTTTCATACTTAATTAATAATTGCCAAACATGTAATTGATTTATAATATTTAATTTGAGAATAATTCAGAAATGGATAATTAATTAAAATCATAATATTTTATGTATAAATTTTAAAATTTTGAGATGTAAAATTGTATATGTATTTGTATTCTTGTATTCAAATAACTTTAAATTTGATATACTTAGCTTTCCAGTGACTGAGTGGATAAAATCCTTAAACATTGGTAATTCATCACGGGTTCGTGTCTCGTGGTTTCTGTGTTTTCTTCATGTGTCAAACAACTAAATAGAGAGCCGTTTTTCACAAAAGCCATTACAGAACGTATCTATATGTTGCGTGGTCTTATTTCATCGATCCAAATCACATCAAGAGACTAAAATGCTAAATACTTCCTATTGATTAATTCGTCATACATCTTCTTTAAATTATTGAAATGTTATGAAATATTAATATTTAAGTACGTAAAATAATAATAAAATAAAATTAAAATATTAATTATCTATATCTGTTCTTCTAGGAAGACCATAAACCAAGAGTGACTTGATGTAAGAATCATTTATTATTGCGATAATCAGTTCGAGTTTCTTCGAATATCGCAAAATAAATAAAGCTATTGCATCAAGTTAAAAATTGTTTCTTGGTTTTCCTGAAAGAACAAAGAGAAAAAACTAATAATAATATACAGCACGATTCTCTACAATTCGTTTCGTTTGAAGGAAGACTGCAATGCAACACATGAGCGATCTCCCAACGAAGATACTTATATGGGAAATTGGCCCATATTTAGGTATTAGACAGATAAAGAAAAAAAACAGAAACTTCCGCATGGTAAACCAGTTGGTGAGGTGGATACTCGTTACCAGTATTCAGCTGTTTTATCCATTCGGCCACTGATGGGAACATTACAATTCGAATATCAATTATAACATTTGTGATTTCTTGTGCAGTAAAAGAATAAAGATAAAAAATGAATGTTTTATGGAACTGCATGACTTTACATGTAAAAAATTGATATCATGTAATGCTATTAATTAATTAAAAATCAATATAATTTATAGCACTTATTCGAGAATTTTGAACTAATTTGAATGATATTTAATACTTATGTAATGCCTCCTTTACATAAGTATTAAACAATAAGGGCTGCATTCTTTCGCCCTTATTGTTTAATCTGTACTCAGACAAAATCTTCAAAAATGCCTTAGAAAACTCAAATTATGGGATTAAAATCAACGGCGTAATTCTTAACGTCATTAGATATGCTGATGATACACTAATCATATGCGACAGCCTAGAAGGCTTACAGGTACAGTAAGTCTAATACCGTAAGCCTTAATCCGTACCGTAAGTCTAATACAGTACTGTAATTTTAAACATTTCTTGTGAAAGAAACATTTCTTATTCAACGGCGATTAAAATTATTTATATTAATGATGTCTCCAAAGTTCTACGAAGTTTTCACAGAAAAATAAGTTGTTAGAAATCGGCCGCTATTTGCTGAGCTGTTCCGCGACGAAAACAATGTTGAGCAATGGCAATGTCGAATGGTGACACTCGGTAAGTAATCCTACAATTTTTTGTTTATAGCGTAGTTTATACGGATTATTCCC